CCGCTCGCTGGTTGGCTCCTCCCCGGCCCAAGCCTAAAGCCTCTGCTGGAGCCTCAGGCCGAGGTTTTAGGCCTTGGCCTGGGCACCCCCAGCTCGACGCTGCTGTTGCTGCCGCCGCCGCTCCCTGGTTGGCTCCTCCCTGGCCCAAGCCTAAAGCCTCTGCTGGAGGCTTTAGGCCTGGGCCGGGGCACCCCCAGCTCCCGCCGCCGCCGATCGCTGGCTGGCTCCTCCCTGACCCAGGCCTAAAGCCTCAGTCTGTGGCTTGGAGCCGACATATGCAAATTAGCCGCCATCTTGGTTGTCAGTTAATTTGCATATACTCACTGATTAGCCAATGAAAAGGGTAGCGGTCGTACGCCAATTACCATGTTTCTCTTTTATTAGTGTAGATATGTATTAACACTGCACAGATATCCCTTGTATAATGGAGTAATTACTTTCTGGCCAAGATCACTGTATGGTGAAATTCTGTTATGTAAATTCTATTTTCTGTTTTTGTGATAACTCTGCTACATCACCACCAGATTAAGAAATAGATATGACTTTGGTCAAAAGTATGGGGATACTGTTTGCGCCAGTGTAAAGAATATTTTGGTGTTTAAAGCCAACCTTGTCTAAGAATCATGCTATGTGCTGTTTCTTGTGCCTCTCACAGTTTTAGGCTTCATAGATGATTTAGATTCCATTATTACTTCTCAGGGGAGGCACACAATAATAATTATCATAGCTTACTAAGTGTCAGACACTATTCTAGGGGCTTTATATATATTTAATTAATTTAATCCTCACGACAACCTTTTGAGATAGAGGCACTATTATTATCACTATTTAGAAATGATAAAACTCTGGCTAGTTAAAATTAGATAACTTAAATAGGGTCATGTAGACTGTAAATGTCTGAGCTAAGATTCAAATCAGTGTCTGTTTGACCCCAAAGCCCACGTTCTTGCCCTTCTACCAAGGGTTCCAAACCAAGGTCATCCTCAAAGTCATCAGAGCCCAGCCCAGAGACTGATTCAGCAAATCCTGCACCTCCCCCATCCCTGCTATAATCAGTCTCTTGCCACTTTTGCTGGGACAGTCGCTAGGATGGTATATGGGCATGTCTGTGTGTGGGTGGGAAGATACTCTTCTCCCCAAACTCATTTTGTGGTAGTTATTAGACAGGTACAAGGAGTCTAAGAAGGAAGGGAATTAGAATGAATTCCAGTAACAACTTGGATTAAAATAGCATCCTTGTGTAAAGATGTTAAAAATAACTTCACTTGTGATGATTGGATCCTAGGCCTTGAGCCAGACATAATAAAAAGAACATGGCCTTCAGAGATCCTGACACATAGCCTCAACTTCCCCATGTGGCCCCATACACACTGCAAGCCTGGACAGTACCAGTGACCACTAACACTGACTGAGCACCCACCATGTGCCAAGCACTTTGCAGATATAATTTCATTTAATCCTCATAATGTTCCTGCGAGGCAAGTAATAGAGGAACTCTGTTTTACACATGAGAAAACAGAGGATTTGGTGGGTTAAGTAACTTGTCCAAGATCACAAAGCTAGTAAGCACCAAAGCTAGATCTGAACTTGGATCTATCTGATCCAAGAACCATCAAAGAGATCTTAAATTTTCCATGCCATTTCCTCTTCTGTAAAGAAAGAGTAACTAAATCTAACCATGCAGGTTATTATGGGGATTCAGTGAGATACTATGGCAGAAAACAGCAAAAAATCTCACGTGCAATAGGTGGTTCATAAGGGTTCCCTTCCTGAAGATTTTGTGAATCAGATTTTGGGAAATGGAACCAAATAATTTCAGAGTGAAGTGCCTAACATTCATCTCAAATAATCTACATATAAAACAATACTGCTGAATAAATTCTGTTCTTAACCCATCTTTATCGACAGTTTGCCTCATTATTGGTAACCCACCATAAGTGGTGAAATATCCCACAAGAAAAATTCATGTTATAGGTGAACAGGAAACTGGGGAAAAGTGGAGAACTTAAAAGCATTGATTATGGGCCCAGATTGCCAAGGTTCAAATCCTGCCTCTGTCACTCACTAGCTGTGGAACCTTGGTCAAGTGATTTGACCTTTCTGTACCTCAGTTTCTTCATTTGTAAAATAAGGATTACAATAATAGCAACGGCTGTAAAGCAATGTCTATAAATCCACTTTGTAGCACTCTGCAGAGCTCTGCAAATGTCCAGAGTGAGAAAGGGAAAGTCAGTGTATCTCAGACCCTGTAAAACAGGGAATGTTTGAGGTTAGAGAGGAGGCATGACCAACACAGTCAGTTGGTACAAAGATGTCAAGTGAAATGGAACCTTTAAGAGGATCCTACTGTTCACAGGTATAGCTCAGATATAAAATAAGCCTCAATTAAATACATCCTATTGTTAGTGGTGCCCATGTAACTAGGCGTTCTGAGGCTACATCCAACTGCCCCATGCCCTCAAGATGTTCAAAAACCCCAAAGTTGTCTACTTCCACCATTGGTTGGGAGCTAAGTTCTAGAGTAGACAGCTTTATGTAGCTCTACCTTTGCCCAAGGAACACTAGGTCTTTCATTGTATTTTAAGCTAAAACATACCTTCACCCCATCTTCTCCAACTTATAAATGCTGAAGAAGGTTCTTCCAAACACCCCATGAAGCAATTTATCTTAAGTGGGTGGCATATCACATGATCCTATCTCATGCTCCCCCATTTAATCCCAAACACGATGTTTCTTCTTTCCCTAGGAAGTCAGGTTCCCTAATTCCTCAACCTTGACCTCTGAACATGAATGCAATCTCCAAGCCGATTTTCCAAATGTCTCAGAGAACTGGCAATTTCTGTCTACAAAACCCTCAGGAGTGCTTCCCTGAGGTTCTGCTGGTCATGGTTTTCACAGGGTCACTGCACCCACTGATCATGTGAGATTGCTCCTATTAACTTCTGAATGATGACCCTGACAGGTGAAAGGGGACATAGTGATACTTTCTAGGAGCATATGCATTTCTGAGTATTTCTTTCCTTAAACTTGTTGAAATTAACTTGAGAATTTCTGCCAAGTATACAGCTAAAAAACACAGATAATCTCTTTTTTAACACAGTATTTCCAAGATTCTAAGAATTATACATTTTTCAGTTATCATAAGTAGAGACTTATGAGAGAAACTTTATATCTTTCAACAATGTGATATTACTTCTTTAATGTTTGAATCACTGGACACATTAAGTATCATATCCCAGATGAACAGGATTCCTAACTGGATTACCAAGGAAATATATGAATAAAAATAAAATACATCAGAATTTAACTGATAACTATAATAATAAGATCTGTTAACATATTTAAATTATGCCAGGTAAGGTGTACAAAATCAGGCTAATAGACATTACCTTTTCTGTCAAAAAATTCTATCAGAGCTGAACTCTCTTCAGGAAAACATTCAATACTGACAACTCTTCCCCCTCCATTTTGAGGATTTTCAAATAAACATTTCAAATCATAGGAGTCAACACCAGGCGGCAGGTTTTCAACCCTGATTATTTTTGTCATTTCCAGAAGTCTTGGGGAAAGCTGAAGTTGTGTCACTGAATGGTGCATGGCACAATCTTCAACAAATTTCATGGCATCTGCAAACCAAAATTAACCAATCAGAAAATTATGATTATATTTTTATATTATACAAAAAACTGTCTGAATTAATAGAGATAAATAGGGGAGCTAAGCACTCAAATTTTAATTCCTAAATGCGAATTTACTTGCCTAAAATTCCGAGTCTCTGAACAATGATGCATCATTAATGTCTTACCACAGTGTTGTGTCCCTGCCTCTGCTCACAGCCCGCTCCAAACCTTCTTTTTATAACCACCTGAGTACTCTCTACTATTCAAATCTCTTCACTTCACCCCTTTCTCAAGTCTTTCAATGGCTCCCCATTACCTGCAGGCATGAGTTCACATTCCTGAGCTAGTTGAAGTATGTCCTTTGCTATTTGACTCCAAACTAATTTCTAAATATTACCTCTGGTTATTCCATGCCATTCATTTTATTTTCATACTGCCACAGAAACTAATCATTATTCTGAAAACCTATTCTTTTTTGCTTTTGTTTATTTGGTTTCCTGTGCTTGAAATGCCCTCCTCCAATTTTTTATCTTAGTCCTATTGCTTCTTGAGGACTCATCCCAATTATCTCTTTCAAATAAATAAATATTGATGCTGGGCCCACATTGAGTCAGGCACCGTGCTAGGAGCTGGGGAGGGAGAGTGATGAATAGAACAAGTTCTGGAACATTCACCTTCCAGGAGGGAGGAAGTCTTGAAAGCAAACAAGTGGTCTATTGTGGTATCAAATGAGGCCGGAAGACTAATATTGGCACTCAGACAAGGATTCCCAGAGTAAGTAGTCACCAGTCTGAGTTTTGAAGGATGAAGAAGAGTTTACCAGATAGATAAGGGAGGAAGCATTTCGGACAGAGGGAACAGCAGTGACATTGAACATAGTCTACTGGGGACCTGATAGCCTGGTACTGCTGAGTGTCTCAGCTTCATAGAAGGATGAAGGCAGGGCAAAGCCACACTGCCCTGTTTGGGTCCCCTTTCCTCCCATTCCCCACAGCCTGCTGTTTACAGCCAAGGGAGGCAACTTCTACTCTTGCATCTTCATTGTTCATTTATGTAATGGTTTCCACCCTGCCCTGTAGGGAGTTCCTGAGAAGCAGGGACCAAGAATTATTCATCTCGGCAACATCAAAATCTCGTATTATTACCACAGCACCTAGACATGTGCACATAGTAGGCATTCAAAATTTTTGCTCAGTAAACAAAAGGAAGTCCATCTAGTTCTGCCTTTATGAGAAATAATCATAAACTTGAAATCAGAATAGCTCCCTTTATTGAGTCCTTACCATGTCCTTACCAGGAACTATGTTAAGAGCTTTTCAAACATTATTTCTTTAATTCTCACAGAAACGGAATAAGGTAGGTATTCTTATCCCCATTTTATAAGGGAAGAAATCAAAGCACACAGAGGATAGTAACTTGGCCAGCCTCAGATAATCAGTTAAATGTTGAAGCTGGAATTTTGACATCATGACCTTACTCTTTTTTTTTTTTTTTTGCAATCCTCAACCGGGGTATGTTTTTGTTGATTTGAGGAGAAAGGAAGGGAGAGAGTGAGAGTAACGTCAATGTGAGAGAAAAACATCAACATCAAACCCAGAACGTTTTGGTGCATGGGATAAAATTCTAACCAATGGAGCCACCTGGCCAGGGCATGACCTGTGTTTTTAATTAACTATTCCAGTGCCACAGCTATGGAACAGTGAGGACTTGGAATTGGAAAATGTCCCTGTTTTTCTGGAGATGGCTCTTCCAACTCACAGACTCTTCCCACAGACCTCAAAGAGCACTCATTTTCTGCATCGCATGCACTTACTCTCCCTGTATATGTGGATGATGCTGAAAATACAGAGAAGATATATGGTAAAGGGGATAACAGAAGAGGCTGTATAGAGGTCTGCTGCCAGGGTTCAAATCCAGTTCTTCATTTATTAGCATCTCTGCACCTTTGTCTCCTTAGGTGTAAAATGAGAAATAATAATAATCATCTCAAAAGGTTGTTGAAAGGAACAAATCAATTAATATATGTAAAGACCTTAGCATAGTAACTGACTTACCCTAATAGCATTTGAGTGTTTGCAACTATTATAATTATTACCTTCAAGTCCAATTGGTAACAAGATCAATATTTACTTCTCTCAATGAGGTAACACGTGAAAACACTCATTCCTATGTTCAGAATCACTTCAAGGTTCTTGGACTTTATTTAGATTTTCATTTGGGTGTGTCCTCTCTCTGTCTGTCTGTCTCTCTCCCTTACACACACATATACACACAAATACACAGAAAACTCATACAATAAGTTTACTCTATTAAACATGCCATGCCATTCTTTGAATTCACAACAAAATTGCTTCTCCTTCAAATAAAAATGATATTTTAACTTGTAGTCCTCTCTTACCAGCTACTAACAAGAGTCAAACTTTCAGAGACATCCCATTAACTGTGTGTCCAAAATCCCAAAAGTGCTGTGCAAAGAAGACTGAACATGAAGGGTCAGTTCATCTTACCTATGTATTTTCGAAAGGTAACTACGCCAACATCAAAATCTCGTATTACTTCCACTTCAAAATCATCACTGGACAGGCCACTTATGTTCTCCACCAACAAGGTTAGCATTATGTCCGTCACATTTGCTTTGAGATTTTCAAATGCAACCAAAGAGGGAATATTTTCACATTGCTTTGGGATATCTTCCATTTTTTCTGATCTTTTGTTGAGAGAGATTTGTGTATCTTCTGATGCATCTGATTTTAGGGATACAAAGGAGGCCAAGATGTTATATTTATCTACCATGATTTCAGCAAAGTAAATTATCATAAGACACTGCCCTCTTTCCTTCCCAACCTCTTAGCTAACTCAAATAGAAACAGATCTTAGAAGGCTTCTTGCTTAAATGAAGTATGATGATGATGTTCAATTTTATTACACCTGTTTCTGCTGACATATACTTCTATCACAGCACCATAGTATAATTATTGAACTCAGTTTCTCAAAAGCAAGGAACAGGTTTATGCATCCTGGTATTGCTAGCACATGGTATATAATTGAGGCTCAATGAATGTCTGTTAAATTGTAGATTTAGTGCCTAGACCACTGGAGGAAAGCAAGAATATCTGATGATGCCAAACATGAGCATGATCTAACACTTTCTAACACTTTATGCTATGAAAAGCAGTACTTCCCATCATTGAAGAGAAAAAAAAGATGCGTGTACTGAATGACCAGGGGATACACAGAGATGGTAAAATGGCCTAGAGGCTATACGTGTACATCAAACTCAGTGAATAGCAATCACTCCAGCCAGCTTGTTCCTCCCCATTGTTGACCATAAGTGAGTTACACATATGCATAAGGTCAGTCTTACTCTATGCTTAATCCAGTGCAGCGAAGCATGACGGGTACAATAGGATCTTTACACATTCTTTGAGCAGCTATTCAGTTGGAGCCCTTATTATGTTGGAGGTACTAGATATGTGGAGAGGGTACATACAAAACATATTAGATAAGGAGCTTATTTTTCTAATGGAGGTATTCAAGAAAAATGAGAAGAGAAACTGATATTTGTAAATGTTTATTATGGCAGAGTAAAATGTCATGTGCTTATCAAATCCATTTTGTTTTCTTTCTGGGAAATATTGCCCAGACTTCCTAGAGTAAAGTTCTTATAGTAAAGTTCGTGTGGCTAATGGAATATGGGAAGAAGGGGTGAATTCCACTTCCAAGCATGACCAATTCATGTCTCCTTCATATGGATCTCCATTTGCCCTTGCAGTGACCTTGGAGGCTATGTATCAAGGAGGCCTGGATTCCCAAATGACGGCATAAAGCAGTCTAGACTCCACCCACCACCCTAGGGGCCAACTACACTGCACTGTGATCTGGGGAGATGTTTTTTACAGCAGTTACATCACCCCAACAAATACACACACACACACACACACACACACACACACACACACACACATGCC